GAAAAATTCCATAGATTGGTCTCAATGCTCTTTTTGTGTAATCAAAGCACTGCAAACGCATGAACTGTAAGAATGCTGAGGTTGTGGTCCCCTCTCAACCTTAGTTGCACATCCAATCTTGGACGAGGGCAATCAGAGAAAACCAAAAAAACTTTGCAGATGTTGTACCCCAAATCACAACAATTTCAGGTCAAATATACAAGATACATGTTTCTGTTCTTTAGGACTAGAGATCCAAGAAGCATTACTGAAGGAAGATTTCATCTTTTCCCCCAGCTAGCTATGGAGTCCCGAGTCCCACAGACCGTCAGCAGCTCTCAGAGCACAGCACTACTTCATGCGTTTCAGCAATCTCAACCGCCAGTGCACCATCCTAGGGCCGTGCTCGTGCTCAGAGCTGTCACTGGAAATACTGAAACGCAGTCAGGAATTTATCCTCTTCAACACCCTTCCACACAGTCCAACACAGATAAATACGTTCCAGTGGATCCAATTAATCTCCTAAGGGTTGCTTGGCCTTGCTAACACTGTCTTTCCTGTCTTTTGCTGTCTTCTTTGGAACTGAAACACACAAATTCAGTGGCTTATCTCTCAGCTTGCTTCCTATTTCAGTAGCCAGTTCCAGCTGCGTCTGCAACCAGCCGTGTGCTTTCAAACGAGTAGCAACTGCTCCTGAGCGCAGCAAGGAATGAAATTCCTGGTCCAAGCTCAAGCTGTCTGGTAGAGGAGGAAGAACCTCTTCCCAAGGTGGGCACAGGCAAGTTCCCACAAGTGCTTATTGAGAACACACTGTCCAAATCCACCAAACCGGAGCGAGCACGTGAGTGCATATATATTTACCATCGCTGCTTGCACTGTCCAGGCCAGTGACTGAACCATCACAGGGCCTAACCCAGGACCCAGACACCAGTCTGCATGGAAGTACTTGTCTGGGATTCAGTTGCCTTTTTACCTTATTAATCTAACCAGCTATTAATCTGAGCAGTTTTACCAGCAAAACTCCTGGATTTGTAATGTTTGCAATTTATTTTGGTAGACCTCAAGTACGATGAAAGTAAACTTTCCATAGGAAAATTTTACTTTCTTTGCAACTTGATAAGCATCCAAAAGGAGCATGTACCTGGTATAACAAGCAGTTCTAAAAGCCACCTCCTGAGATACTATTGGGAAAGAACTTGCTGAACCACATCTAACTGAGCAACAGCAATATTTATTCTAAACTACCAACAAACTACATCTTAATGTCTGTCTTTGCTATCAAGGTAACCCACTAAGGCAATAAAGTTCTATTTAAGGAGAATTCCATTAAAATATTTGGGATGGCTGAAGGGATGGATGTGGTGGGAAGTCCTAATATGCTAGCACCACAATGGTAATTGGATTAGGCCAGGCACCATTCTCTGGCCTTGACAGCAAATGACACAGCAGAGGTTGCCTCCACCTGGGCAAACTGTCCTCTCAGAAAAGTGGTGTCATCCCTGCTGCCCACTGGGAACAGCCCCTGGCCCATCCATGAGGGTACATCCCTTGAATGGAAAGCCTGCAAGATTGCACAAGCCAAAACCAAGCGAGAGGGTGTTGTAACAACTAAAGTGTGCAAGATTATGGCTTCATGTTCATACCCTTGTTTGCTTCATTCACTACCCTGGATGTGCCACCAAGGAGAAGGATCTACCTTCTGATCCACCAAGGAGAAGAAGCAACCCCAGCAGGTGTTGCTTAGATGTAAACACATAGAGAAAAAGTAAACACTTAGAGAAAGAGCTTTTCTACTCCTTTTTCTACCAGAAACACATATGTATTTTTTTCCTATTCTTTCAGTCTGACTGCCAGCTGGATAAGCTCAGACTGGCACTGGCCTTCACCTGAGAAATATGCAGTATCAATCATTCTGGGTGGTGAGCGAGAATGGAAGAATACAGAAAATTATCCAAGTGAATGGAAGAAATTTAGAAAGACCTTTTGTTGTTGTTTCTTTTTGGTTTTCTTATTATTTCATTCCCTCAGTCCAATGAAATGACTTATCCTTAGGGCACAATTTAGGAAAAGGATTGACCCACGCTTTTGTACACACTAATCAAAACTGAGGTAACAAATAACATCCAGAAACGTGATGGTTCACTGGCATTGTCAAGGAAACTCTTAAGGAAAAACACTGAAGGAAGTCAGTCAAGAAGTTCACACAAACTTCAAGAAAGATTTTTAAGGCCAGTTTATCTAAAATACTAATTGACAGAGAACAGGAGGATATGAAGTGAAACTTGTTCAGTACAAACAGGCTTGGATGGCAGAGAAAAGGTCTCATCAGCTTGAACTGGATTTTGGCATAGTGATAGGCTGTAGGTATGGGAACTTCTTTAAAAAGCACATAGGTGTGAGGCATAAAAGGTAGCACAGTATAGCAATGAAATTTGCTGATCCCTCACTAAAAATGCAAGTAAAAATGTAAAATTGCTATACAGACTTTCTGAACAAACATTAGGAGTATGTAGCAAGTTTTACATGTGTAGGAAGCAAAAGGACTTGTAGAAAAGAGAATTAGAATTATCTTTGATGCAAGCAATCCCTGTAACACCATCAGGGTTTCTCCAACATTATTCTGTAGGCTAATGCCTTTGGCTATGATAGAGGAATCTCCCCAAAGCTTCTCCCAGTTTCTGTGAACTCTTGCAGACGGAGAGCATTAACAATGTTGGGAATCCTGTGAGGATGTACTGCCCGTTGCTGCTGTCATTCTGCCACTATGACAGGCAAGTTGTCTGTCTGCTGTGAAATGCTGCTAACTGGGGTGGTTACATTTAAAATGTGATGCAATGTCATCAGCAAAATGTACAAAGATTCTCACGTTTCTGTTTATACAAAATAGTGTGTTTGTGAGGAACTGAGATTAGATTGTGCTAAATGTTTTAAAGAAAATATGAAAATATTGAAAGTTTTTGTAAAGTTTTATATAATGTTCTCATCCTGAAAATCTCAAAAACTTTGTCAAAAAATTGTTGGTGGTGTTATAATGCTACACCAGGGTCTATGCTGAATCTGATGTAAATCTTGACCCAATTTATAGTTTTACTTTTTGACATAACATGAAATTCACATTGAAAAATCTGTTCAAGTTATATTTGGCAAGATCGTTCCTGAAAATTTGAGAAAAACTGGAGCAAAAATCTTAAAAATTAAATTTGAGCATGGGAGTGCTCTGGCGACAATCTAGATACATTAAAAATATCTGAAATAACTAGAGGGTCCCATGAAGAATAAAAGCCTAGTGTCACACATCGCCTTTATCCAGTGTACCACACTCTTACATGTTGCCTTAACCTAGTCTAAGTGGCTACACATAGCCACATGTCAGCTGGGAACAGACGGATACACATTTTGCTGGTCCCTAAAACAGGAGACGACCTTGGAGGAATGGCAGGTTGGTGAATCCTCACTCGTGTCACAGAATCACAGAAGGGTTTGGGTTGGAAGGGACCTTAAAGATCATCTAGCTCCAACCCCCCTGCCATGGGCAGGGACACCTTCCACTAGACCAGGTTGCTCAAAGCCTCATGCAGCCTGGCCTTGAACACTCCCAGGGATGGGGCATCCACAGCTTCTCTGGGCAACCTGTTCCAGTGTCTCATATGAGTTTTGAGCTTGAATGGGATTTCTGTCTAGAAGCACTATATGATCTCTCAGTTTAGGTCCCTTGTCCCTATGTCCCATAGTTGTGAATTGACACAAACTGGCAGAGTTTAACTAAGCACACAAACACACACCACCAAGAAATAAAAAAAATCAACAACATGAAAAAGAGAGATCTACTTGCTAAAGTTTAGATGCTGTTTGTGCATGTTTCAGAAGGAACAAGCAGTGTTTAGGTTTGGCCAGCTGAGAAGAAATAACTGCACCTACAGAATGTTTATCCTTGCTTTGCTTTCATACCTCACATGTGTGGGCTGGATTTTAAAATCCAGAGATAAGACGGACAGCACAACAAATGTGAACTGATCACAGAAAATTACTTCATTAGGTACGCAGGACATTATTTGGCTCTAAAATATTGTCAGTGTAGTTTAAATGGTTTTACTGAAGTGAAAAAAGTCAATATGCAGGTACTAGGAGTAGATTAGTGGGAGTATTTACTTCTAAAAAGATTAATCCGAGGCCATTCATATCAGGTTCTGTGGGAAAAGGATGAGGCCATAACCAACCTCTTACTGCCCTCAGTATTCAACATCTGTTTCCTTTGCAATTGCCAAAACCATTACCAGCATCATAAATGAACCCCGACATCAGAACTGTCTTTTTTTGTGAATGAAAAATAGGATGAAAACAGAAAGTCACCTGCTGTTCAACTTCTGGCTGCTTGGAAACATAGAAAGGAAGAATTCAACTGATTTCCAGATGTTGAACTACCCTGCACTTGAGGGAATTTTGTCTACACAGATCTTGAAGGGCTCCTTAGAGTTTTTCCCAAGATAGTATGATCTTGCTGGATCTTATATATCAAACAGGATCTTACTGAAAAAGGGACCTTTAAGGAGCAGCCACTACCTGAATGCATGCTGCAATGGACATGTGGTATTCACAGTCAGAAAAAGTGGGAAACCATCTTTTTTTGTGACGGTTCGTGATGAAATGACTAATGCTGGCTGGACAACATCAAAATAAACAAACAGGCCGATTTCAAAATATCCAACAGAGAGACTTGAATTTGTTTCAAAAACATTGCACTGTTTTGCTAAAAGGAAGCTGTTTCCCATTTTCTGTTAGATGATCTTTGACATGACAGTATAAACTGTCATTTGGTTTTGGTCACGGCAGAGAAGTTGCATTGTTCTAGAATGCCCCGATGGGACAAAGAAGAGGTAAAAACACAGTAAAAAAGTCCCCAATTCTAGAAAGATATGGAGTGACTTAAACACCCTTATGTGTTCAGAGTTTGGTTAGATGTTACTGTTGCCTTCTACATACAGGAGTAATAATAACATTAAGCCATAGAAAATCAGACTAACCTTAACTGTTGCTCCAGGAAAGAAAAGCCAGTTGCCAGTATCCACAGGATCAAGATTATCTTCTAACACAACCTTTCTGTGGGCAGCATTTATGATCAGGATGTTGTCCAATGCCCAACAGGCTTCATACACATCACCAGCCTGAACATAATCCTGTTTCCACTGAAAATGGATGTTCTCTGCTTTAGCATCTTCAGGAAGGTACAAGATGTGGATGATTGTGCTGACATTGGAAGGAGCGCTGAAAAACAATAATATGGAATTAGACCAAGTTTAAACCATACCCAGGAATGCTTTTCCTTCTCTTAACATTTACCAGCTGTGACACAGTTGTGCTGATGTCCCTTGTATGCTGATAAATCTGTGGAGATCAGAAAATGCCCCGAGGCAGAGTCCCACCATGCCAGGCAGTGCACATACAGCCCGAACAGACAGCCTTGCTTCAAAGAAAGTGCAAGCTAAGGCAATAAATAGCAGATCAATGCAGAAGTTTGGAGAGCAGGAAGGAAAAGCAGGGCAACATTCATACCCAATGCTGGTCACAGCTCCTAGTGACTGGGCATTGTCAGGTATTTTGCAGGTATGGCCAAAAGGAAATCTTAAGGAAGCACTTCAGAAAAAGTAAAATGTGATTTTTGCACAAACTTTCACCAAAAGAAACCCTTGACTTCTGGTCCCTCAGTCCCTCATAGACCTGGATAGAGCAGAATAGCCAGAGGGAAAAGCTGGGAATGTTCTCTGACACGTGTCCTTCCAATCCCATACCCCTGCTGTCAGGCTAATTCTGAGGATGGGGAGGGCCAGGTTGCCTTTCTTTTCATGTTAACCGCTTCAAAAACAATACAGAAGAAACAACTCATTTCCCTTCTCTCTTGCTGCTGAAAATGGAAGATGTGGGGAGGGTGGGCAGACATGGAGTATTAGTAGTAGGCAATGATCAGGGTGTTGAGCTCTGCTTCCCAGAGCTGTCCTGAGAGCTGTGAAAGGACTGAGGTTCACCCTGAGGTCTGGGTAAACGTCTTTACTTTGTTACTAGCGATGAAAGGACTGAGGTCTGTGTGCATGGAAGGGATGCTGAGAATTATTATTTTTGTTTAATTACTCATCCAGCCATGGAATTAGCTACGTTCAAACGTAAGGCTGCAAGGAGGTACAAAATTGGGGATTGCAAGATGGCAGCTATTCAACCCTGCCTCTGCCTTGGTAGTGATGCTTTGGTGGGTTAATAGTTTGTCAGACACAATCCAGAGCTCTTAGGGTAAAAAGGCAGGAGCAGCTTGCTTATATAGGAGAAAACAGAGGAACTTCTCTTTGAAAGCAAAATATGAGTTTAGTGAAAATGCAACTGTATTTGACCCACATTCACACCCAGAACCTGCCCCCACAAATCACTCTGCACTTGCTAAACATTTTGTCTGTCACCCTACACTGCAACACTGCTCTGAGATGTTGTCCTTGCTTCTCCCTGAGCCCACACACAGCACCCATCTTCTCCGAGAGACATCCTTCCCCTCCCTCCTGGGAGTCCAGACCTGCAGTCTCACTGATGCAACCCAGCACACGGACACAGCAACACAACACCCTCCCGTCACAGCTGTCCTCTCCCCAGCTCTCCCAGTGTTCCCCAGAGCTGCATGTAGTTCAGTGAAAGCTGCTGAAGCACATTAAAATAAACACTGCAATTCATACGGACCAGAGGAGAAACGAGCATCCTTTCATAATTCATCCTCTCCACTTTGCACCCCACTGCTCTATTGACCTATTTTCTACTGCTGGCTCCAGCAGTCAAAGCTAAAGCAACACAGATCAAACTGTATATGCATTAACTTTAAAAAATTTGGGTTTCAAGTGTTTGTGTTTGCACCATCACCACTCTTGGTTTTCTAGCTTGCAGAGCTATGAGGGTAACCGAACTGATGTTAGGCACATAATTTTGCAGCAATGTGAGAAAAAAAAGGGTAGTGTGGTTACTTTGAGACAATTCCAGTGGCTGCAGCAAAGTAACTCTTGCTTTATATTTTTCTGAGAAAAGAATTAGCACCATCGGTTTTATTAAAATTGTTCATAATTTTTGCCTTTGCCAATGAAATCATAATCCCACTCCACAAGGGATGCGAGGATGAGATACTGAAATCCCCAGCCTTGCACCTAGAGTTTTCCTTAGTCATAAGAAATTAAGTGGCCTTTTGCTCTGCAAATTGTCTCAACGGACAGAAAATAGGGTCAAGCAAATCGCTGGTGTGGCACAGCGACCAAGGTGATGCACGGAAGCAGACTGAGACACTTTGAGGACATGACATATAAACCGCATGTTTTCTTCCCCAGGTGTACTTACATAACTATGTTTATGTGCCAATGCACAAAACACTTTTTCCATTATTATTTAATGAAATGTTGGTTCTGCTTTTAAAAAAATCCATCTCTGATACTGATTCTGCCTTTGAAGTTCCGGACATTACAATAAAAGATTTTTAAATCCTCATTCATAATCCTTTGTGCCTTCATGTAAAACAGTTTGTTTAAAAAACAAGGCATAATTCACCATTATGTTGTTGTTGTAAGAGAGTTTTGAGCCAAGTTTCATATCAAACTATAAACTATTTTTATTGAACATTTTATCCTACTCAAGTAGAAACTTGTAATACTATAAATTATGGCTCTTGCTGACACTAAAAGTGGTGCTAAAATGCAAAAGTCATCAAACTTCTGTTTTTTCAGTCACCTGAACCTGCAGGTTATTTGAGTTGCATTTTGACACTAAAGAAATTCTCTTCTTTACCTCCCACATAACCAGTGGATGAAACTGTGATTTACCAAACCTGGTGGCAGTTCTGCAATCAGCTTTAGTGACCGTAATTTTACCCTTGATCTTTTAACATGTATAAAAAAGTGAGAACTGAAAAGTTAACAATTAAAACAAGTCTTAAAAGAGCCAGGTTTAAGCACCACCTGCTCAGCCAGAAAGCATGAAAATGATTAAAAAGCTGTAACAAACCTAATTTTCTCCAGCTGAGTCCAATCCCCAGAACTGTTCTTACTGTAGGACACGGTGATGCTGGGATCTGAGTAACTAAAGCGACATGAACCCGATCCTGGGAAAAGCAATAAAATGCAAAGTGTTAGGACACAATGAAGCAATAAATGATCCTCCAATAACCAGAGTTTGTCACATCATCACTTCTCCTGATTTTAAAGCGCTTTGATTGATGATGAAATTTCCTGTGATCTGTTGCTGAAGGTAAACACAAAATAATGCATGCTTTATGAGTCAGAAATAAAGTAGAAATGATAAATCACAGCAGCGCTGTGTAATCTCTGCAAATTTCCCAGGAGAAGCCAAGTAAATTACTTAACACCCCCCACTGCAGGAAAAAAAACACCATATAATGTTCAGACAAAATCTTCTTATTAGAGAATAATCCACATAGCAGAATTCATAGGGAAAACAGTAAAAGACTGTTTTTCATATTATTATATATATATTAAAAAAAAATCCAGAACTAAAAATACAGTAAGTGATAGGAAAATTAATTACTTGAGCCAAGAGCAAACGGGCTTTAGGAATTTAAAAGAATAAAGACGTTACAAAATTAGTTATTTTAAGGATGCCTGAAGAGAATTAAATTAAGAAACCACCCAATATACTCACTAGAGCCTATAATTAATAATAAACATTTGAGGCTGATCTGGGAATCTCAGAACACTTTACAAAAATGAACTAATTAAGCCTTATGGCACCCCTGCAAGGTAGGGTAATATATTTACTTTTGATTTATAAAAGTGTGCCTTCTGGATGTTGTCACAACAGATGATCTTAACAATTAATAAAGGGGACAGTCAAAATAACAAAAACTGGTATTGAAAAATTCAACCTAGAAAACATGGTAAACAGCCTGAGTGGTAATTAAATACACTAAAAATACTATTTTTCCTCAGACACCAGATAATTCAACCATCTCAGAAAATTCAACACCCAGTGAAACAGACAAACCCTAACCTGTGCTCCAAAGATCAAAATTTGTACTTCATAAGCATGTTGAAATGTGAAATTGAAAACAGCAGCCATCAGCTACCTTCCACATTTAAAAGAAGCGGCTCTCAACCAAACAGCACCTCTGATGCCATCAGGATACTACTGAGTGAGTACCACAGGTTTGCTCACAGTAGGAGCATGTATTATGTGTGCTACCAGCAGTGTGTTACGTTTGTGTGCTTCAGACACGTTCAGTCACACTGCAAGTTGTGCATATACATATTTTTATACATGTATAAATGCCTATATATACCCAGATGTGGAAACTGCTGACCATAAAATACTATCATTTTCCAACCTGAGGTACTTATTTTTGTAATGAAATAAATGGCCTGATTAAAAAGGTGTTAACCACTTGTACAAGAGAACAGCTTACACATTTTAATGGGAACATATGTCATTAAGAACACTGCTTGCAGCCCCGGCTCCCCCGAGGCAGTTCACATTCGCAGCTCTCAGCTCCGCTGAGCTGCTTTTCTACTCTGAGATACACATCACATACCTCTGCAGGGGAAAAAACACCCCAAAACATGGGATGAAATCCTGCCTCTGTAATTTTGCCTGATACGTCAATGAGCATCCTGGAAACGGCCTGCAAAGTTGCTTTCTTGTGTATTTTACTAATGCTAAATTGTAACTAGAGGAATAGACACTCTGAGCCACTACAGCTGCGTGTGGGTACGTTCAGCTGGTCTGACACGTATTCTTGCTGTAACGAGGCACAGAATAATTAATATTGCAAAGGCAGCAGGACTTTGAATTACCAACCATGTACCCAGAATGACTACAAAGCAACTGTCTGGTTGTATTTTACTGACAAGGCATTTTATTTCTATCATATTAAAACCAAACGATGTCAGGAAAAGCCTTTGCGTTTCATATTTGCCCATCTGCTGAGATGGTCTACTTTACTGAGTGACATCTGCTGTCGGTTCCCACTTCTGCGGCATTTAGGAGTTCCAACCCTTAATCACATTCGTTCTTTTTATTCCAGGAGAATTCAGTTAAAAAAATCAGTGAACTTCAGCCAGTTTAACCACTTTGGTTGGCCAGAGGCTGCGAGGCAAAACAGCAACATACTGCATGTTCTGTTAGACAGAAATTAAAAGAACATAAACAATAAAAATAACCAGCAATATAGACTTTATAACGTGCCATTTCAGTTAGTGTTACAACTAATGTTTAGTGCTGCACTCCTAAACAAAGCCAAGACCAAATATGCTGCTAAAAAAGGGGGAGAAGGCCACATTTGCTGTCCATACTGCAAAGACGATAGGAAACGAGCATTCCCTGTCAGTACAATCAATGTGAAAAATGCTGCCTGTTAAATCTCAACACCCTCAAACTACTCAATGAAGTCCAAAGTTACTGTTTAAAAGAAATAGGGCCACTGAAAAAGGGCTTTGCAAGGCAGATGTGCTATTTCCTTCCGTTCTCAGAAAGGGAGCAATGGAGAGAATGAAAAGAGGGGAGACAAGTGCTGAGTTTTATTATTATTTTAATAAGCAGAGCAGGTTGTATTAAGATTAAAATTAGTGTGAGAAAGTCATCAAGGTCATTGTAAGTAACAGTTACTGTCTCTGACAACAAATGTGGTTTTATGTTCTTGACTCAAAATTGTAAAATAGCAAGATTACTTATCATTTAAGTATCTAATTCTGCAAAACTCAACTGACAGTTAAAAAAAAGCAATTAAATTCATTAATTTGAAAAAAATCATTAATCAGGCTCAGGCATTATTCTTTGCCACATGAACCATTTTTCAAAAATATACAAGAAGCACATGGATCTGGTACTGCAACTTTTACAAACCCAATATTCATTTTACCTAACGTTAAGAGTTTCTTCCCAAGAAAAGGGAGGAAGGTGAACATACAGCTGTGCTCCAGGACAGGGTTTACTGAGATGGTGCTGAAAGCCACTGGCTTTCAATACAATTTTTGATATTGCTTTCAGTATTACTGCTACGTAACAGTATTGCTCCATATTATTTCAGTAATCCTAAACTAGGATTATTTAAATTATTTTGTAGCAATCTGCAGTTTGGATGTTTGCCTCTACCTTGACCAGCAAAGCTATACTCTGGCTTTCCGAACAAATAGATGTTCAAAACTGATGCAGTAACATCGCAGGAACTGAGGGGAAATGCAGTCGGGGAAGGGAGGTGTCCTTCACACTGCTTCCCGAGATGGTAATAAACAGCTTGTCAGCGGTGGGGCAGGATGTCACACTGTAAATCTTCGTACCCTCCCATCCTCCAAAGAAAAAGTTGTGTAAGATGACATAAAACCTTTTGAATGGCAGTAGGATGGGCTTGTTTTAAATGAAGAATGCGCAGGCTTGAATGAGCCGCAAAAGCGGGTAATAAAGCACGACGACTGCCATGCAGAAGTCTGCACTATTAAGTTGCTGTACGAGAGAAAAATGACGGGTTTTTTCTTAAGCTGAGTATGTCACAGCACAGCAAACCTGATGCCTTGGTGAGGTTACTGCTAGCTAAACCTGACTGTTAGGATTATACTTTGGATACATTAATTTGATGTGGGGGGAAACCAAACCAATTTTTTCTCTGCATATGTATAGGCAAGATTGTCCTTGTGTTTCAGGAACAACATATTTTTCTCCTTTGGAGTTATTTTACTCCTTTTGACAGACTTCTAGATGAAGTTCACAGACTTCTAAAACTTTTAGAAAAAAGCTAAAGAAGAAACAACCTTCATGGGTTTAATTTTAAATTACACGTTTGAAGCTCAGACAGCAATTTTGTCTGATACCAGAAACGATGAGCAGTTTCTGTTGTAAAACCCAGCTATTTTCATATACTGAAAATTCTGAAACACTAATTCATTTGGGTTGAGCTTTACGTGTTTGGATTTTGCCCCAGGCAAATTTTAATAAAATAGAATTTGCTCGAAGTTGAATGCAGACACCGATACTAACAGGGGAGGGTTTTGACTGGCAGAGTATGGGAATGCCCAGCAGCTCCTGACTGCTGCTGTGTTAATTCTACCTAAACCAAATAGGAAAGAACAGAAAAGGGAAACAAAAATATGCTTCTCAATTGCTTTGCTGCTTGTTTCAGAGGACTGGTAACCCATAGCCAGGACCTGACCAGGTCCAGCAGAGACAGACATGACCTTTTTTTTCCTTGTTAAGTCTTGTTAAGCTGATTTTGGTTTCCTTCAATTCCACCTACAGTACTGGTGAATATTTTACACACTTTATATTTTAAAATATGATGTAGGTATCAGTTCTATGAGCATAGTATTTCAGAGAGATGTTATGAAGGCACTTCATATCCAGTATTTGTGTCCAGGTATTCAGTTATTTGTACCCAGGCTGACAGTGGCAGGCAAAATTAATTCTCACTACCGCTTTGCCTCCAACTGCGTCACATTTACAGAAACCCGAATCATACGGCTGTTGGTCTCTAAGATTTTTTAACAACATTGATTAGAAGCTGGTGTTTCGCAGAGATAAAACTGGGAGCCATCTGCAAGGGAAGCAATGTTTTGCTCCATATAGACTGTGACGTTCTCTGCCTCTTGACAACCTCTTGATAGTTCCTGCGAGTGCTTCCGTGGATAAGCAGATGAGATATCTAATGCTGGCTTTAAGAAGCACATGTCTAATGTGGAACTGTGCAAGAAAATTTCACAGAAAAAACATAGAAGGGTTTAAATTGTGTCCTGAAAAACAAAAAGGAGCTGAAAAGAATTGCACTTATTTAATGCTAGAAGATTGCTTTTATTCATTTTGTTAATGTGATGAATAATGATTAGTGTTTGCTGAGGATTATGATTTGCTGATATCACTTGAATTAAGCCAAACTGGATAGTATAAATTACTAGTGGTCAAATTTGGTTGGCTTGCTAATATTTTTTTCCAAATTAATAAACCATGCAATCTGATATAATGAAAGCTCCACAGATCCTAATTTTTTTTAGGTGTATGTTTATATCGGCTTCTAATTAAGAACCAGATGATTATAGTTTGTGCTGCATATACCAGAAGCACTGGTACAAAAATGTAAAACTCACTGTTCATCATCCCATTCTG